ATAAGTGGGTTTTTTTGCTGTCAGTGTTTGTAAATGTCACCTGATAGCAGCCGCACTGCTGGCATCTCTGAAAGATCCTGCCAAAACTCATCAGGGATTCCTGCGTTCTTTCACCCGTTCCCCCTCCACATGAGCGTCCGGCCGAACGCATCCTTCACAGAGCAGCTCTGCTGAGATTTGATAGGATTTCGATTTGACTCGCTGTCCGGCAGGCTTTGACTTTCTCAGCGTGCTAAATGAGTCGTCGTGTTTTATTTTGGGGATTTGGCGCTCGGAGAGAGAGAATGCAGGGATAAATAATGCGACACGCTTCTCTCGGTGTTAATTAGCTTCTGCGCTGTTTCTTTAGTAAATAAAACATTGAGGGAGACACAATTAGCCAAGCCTGTCGAGCTCTCAGCATCTGTCCGCAGCAGCTGTTTCAGACAGACAGAATGTGGGATAATTGAGGAGGAGGAGAGATGCTGGACGAAATGCCACTGGGACGCAGCGCTAGACCTATCAGAGAACATTCGGAGCAGTGCAGAATCTGTTTCTAAATGACAAATTATAAATGTATGGAGTTTTGGACAGTCTAGAGTTTATGGGTGAATTCCAAACAGCTTTTTTGCGCCCTTGAAGGGCATTCTGGGAAGGGGACGCCATTTGTAGGGACGTTCCAAATGAAAGTGATCAACTGAATCCCTTCACGAAGGGCCCTTCCAGAAGTCCATTAGCGAAAGGAACATGTGATGGTCACTTCACGGAAGTAATTACCGTTTGTGATCATGTGATCTTCGGTTAGGAGATCTTGTGATGCATTTTAAAGCAAAGTTGGGGTTGATTTCGACTTCACATACAAATGTAAGTCGAATAGGCTAATTACATTTGTCTTTATTTTATTGTAATACAAAATATTTTTCTTCAGTGATAGAAATATGATTTAAGATGGTAGTGAAAGCAAGTGTCAGCAAGTATAGCATTAAAAAAGTTTAATGGTAATAAGACACAATTAGAAAATATTAGAATAAAATAATAATAAGAAGAAATATTTATTTGCAACAACTGATGGAGTGTCGAATGCTGCACGCACGGGGAGTTCCAAACGCTTATACCAGACAGTAATGCCCTACACCCTTCAAAGAACACACTTCAAGGGCTCTGCCCTTCTAAGGGAGTAGGGCATAGGGATGCTCAGTTCCGTTTGGAATTCGCCCCCTATAATTCATCAGCAGCATGTGACATCAGTGTCAGTTACCACAGAAGCTGGGTTTGTTTCAACACGCAATAAACGCATGTGCAGCAGTGCGCTTGTATTGTAAGCATATGGAGCGAGGCCTTCCAGTGGGTCTGACCGCTCTTGTATGAACTCTTCGGTAGAAACGTTCATTATGTGAGCTGTGTTTGTGGCTGAATTGTCATGTGGACTCTTCTCGGTCTGCTCATGTGCTGCGGATGAGTTTCTCCAGCTATAGGCCTATCCATGATTTCTCCTGCTGTGGACGTGAAGCACAAGCTCATGCCTGATGATGTCACAGCAGTTTGTCTCATGTGAACACAGACGGTGTGTTTGAGCTCAGCAGTGTCTCCATTACTGTACATGTGATTCTTATAAACCGAGTCTGAACTATTTTCACTGTCAGTCATCATCATCATGTCGCAGATGCTGTAGACAGAGCTGAGCATCTAGAAGTGCTGCGGTTTAAATGAATTGTATTTAAGTCCAGTTTCTGATAAAGATTATGTTTGCTATGAACATTCCTGTAGATTTTCATTTCAAATCACAGACACTGTAAACAATTTTAAAGTAAATAAAACAGTAAAACAATAAAATAACATTTATTAGTTTTGACTTTAAAAATTCACATTTAACTCAATGTGTTAATTTCTGTTTCTTTGTAATTATTTGTGAAATTTCTTTAAGTGCTCGTCTATCTATCACATGATGCTGGTGTCTGTTCTCATGGTTTCACCTGTAGGGTGTTGTGATGTGAGTGTTGTTTGCTTTAGTGAGAAAGAGATGAGATGCTGATCTGTGAGTGTGTGTGTAAGAGAGAGAGAGAGAGAGAGAAAGAGCATGCGATTTTCTTCTGGCCTCTTACTGGGTCACAGCTGCTAAAATACTCCTACATGATCAGTCAACTGCTGTTCACACAGTTACACACTCACTCACACACACACACTCGCACTCTCACTCACACTCTTACACACTCATGCGCACACTCACTCAGTCAAACACACACACACACACACTCACTCGCACACTCACACAGTCACTCACATACACACACTCACTCACTCACTCACTCACTTACTTACTTAACACACACTCACTTACACACACACTCACTCACTCACTCACTCACTCACTCAGTTATTTCATGTATCAAGGCCTCATGTTGTGCTGTCAGATGCTGTACGTCGGTCCTGTTGTATTAACGCAGTGTTCTCTGTCTCCGCAGTGGACGGCTGTACGGATTGGTCTGTGGACTACCTTAAATACAAAGTTCTGCTCGGGGAGCCTGTGAGGATTAAATGCGCTTTATTTTATGGATACATCCGTGCGAACTACACACATGCTCAGAGTGTCGGACTCAGTCTGATGTGGTACAAAAGCACCGGCCATGGAGACTTCGAGGAGCCCATTTCATTTGACGGGAGCCGGATGAGTAAAGAGGAGGACTCCATCTGGTTCAGACCGGCCGAGTTACAGGACACTGGACATTACTCATGCGTGTTGAGGTACGAGCTGCTTTTTTCCTCTGTGTGTGTGTGTGTGTGTGTGTGTGTGTGATCTCATGTGGAATGTTTACCTGAAGCTGATTTGTGTGTGTATCTTCACACTGATTTGGCAGCATCATGACTGTCTTTGTTAAATGTAAATCCCAATTCCCAAGACAAATGTTTGTTATTACTGGATCAGTAGTGAATCAGCTGTAAGCAGATCTACTCAAGAGGTGCATATTATCCTACACACACACACACACACACACACACACACACACACACACTCACTCGCACACTCACACACTGGCCCTGATCTGTGTCTGACTGTGTTATTTCATGTATCAAGGCCTCATGTTGTGCTGTCAGATGCTGTACGTCGGTCCTGTTGTATTAACGCAGTGTTCTCTGTCTCCGCAGTGGACGGCTGTACGGATTGGTCTGTGGACTACCTTAAATACAAAGTTCTGCTCGGGGAGCCTGTGAGGATTAAATGCGCTTTATTTTATGGATACATCCGTGCGAACTACACACATGCTCAGAGTGTCGGACTCAGTCTGATGTGGTACAAAAGCACCGGCCATGGAGACTTCGAGGAGCCCATTTCATTTGACGGGAGCCGGATGAGTAAAGAGGAGGACTCCATCTGGTTCAGACCGGCCGAGTTACAGGACACTGGACATTACTCATGCGTGTTGAGGTACGAGCTGCTTTTTTCCTGTGTGTGTGTGTGTGTGTGTGTGTGTGTGTGTGTGTGTGTGTGTGTGTGTGTGTGATCTCATGTGGAATGTTTACCTGAAGCTGATTTGTGTGTGTATCTTCACACTGATTTGGCAGCATCATGACTGTCTTTGTTAAATGTAAATCCCAATTCCCAAGACAAATGTTTGTTATTACTGGATCAGTAGTGAATCAGCTGTAAGCAGATCTACTCAAGAGGTGCATATTATCCTCAAAAACATTATTAAAGTCATCAATAAAATTTGATTAGATGATTAGACACTTAATTTCTGGCAATATTGTTGACTTGATTGCACAGATACTATTTGAACTGAACTGAGCTGGATGATGACATCACTGAATCAATGATGAACTGACTTTATTGTCCTCTTGCATTATAGACACACTATTTTCCTGTTTAACACTGTAAAGCTGCTTTGACACAATATGTATTTTATAAAGTGCTATAGAAATAAAGGTGACTTGACTTGAGATGACAAAGCAATATAGTGAATGAAATAGAAATAATATTAATAATAATTATTATTATTAGTGTTAATATTAGTATTATTATTACATTGAGACGTACATTCTACTGTACAATAGTAATATATTTCTGTCACAATTTCTTCAAGTTAAACTGGACTTTTATGTTGGCGGTTTGTGCTGAAGGTCTGAGAGTCTCAGTGTGTGTTTGACGGTGATTTTTCTCAACATAAATGCTGTAAAGCTGCTGAAGTGACTGTCAGAGCAGCTCTGGAGATGAAGTTATGCGCTCATATATTGAAACACTGTGAGCGTCACGCATGTTTGAGTTTGTGTATCAGACCAAACTACGGCTCTGATTCACACAGAGACACGCAGAACATGCAGATTCATATTTAAATAGTCATGTCTTGGTTCAGTATTCAAAGACACTAGACCGACTGATGATTTATGTGTACTCACCATTGACTACTTTTGATTTATTCATCCAAAATCTGAAAATTCCATGACATTCCGTGTTGTACAGTAAATTCCATTTTTATGACTGGATTTTGCAATTCCATCCCACGTTTTTCTCATCTCAGGAATCACAGAGGCCCCAGGAGTTCTTCTGACAATCTTTCTGAATTGTGGTCTCTCTAATTGTGAATCTGTTGTTTTGTAATGGGCGGGTTTGCAGGGATTTGATTTGGGCTGATGGTCACATCCATTTACAATAATCAGGAGCAACACTAACTCAATCAATAAGACCTCATCCATCCGTCATGTTAGACAGACAGAGACAGAGGAGAATGGACTTGTGTCTGGTGTATTAATATAGAGACTCATCAAAACAAATGACAGCTGTGAGTGAAGCACATGATGAGATCAGATCATACCACCTCGTGACGCTTTCATTCCACTCTTTCTGATGCCACACTTTTACCATTTATGATGTGTGTTCAATAATTAGGTTTCATGCATTTTCGATTCAGGTCATGTCTCTGAAGTAAATGAAAGATTCGAGCGCCGGTTCTTCTGATGTGACGGTGTTTGTGAACAGCAGCAGTACCGCCGCGGAGGTCAATCCACCAGAAACGGGGAAAGCGCGGCATACGTTCTCATGTTGTAGTACGTCATTAACCTCGCAGGTAAAGGCCGTTTCCTGTCAAAGGCTCATTAGGTTCCCTCATTAGGAGAAGAAGACGTTTGAGTCTCTCTCTGAACTGAGACAGCTCTGATCTGAAGCGAAACACTGTAACAAATTATGAAGCAGAACTTCAGTGGAGTTTAAAGGAGCGTATTCATCACAACACAAGCGCATTACTGTACCTCGCTCCCGCTCCTCTAATATCTCCATCAGATCACATGACCATCAGGAACGGACCGTTGAGTCTTAATTTGACGAGAATCTTTCTCTCCACCAGGTTAGAGATTTAAGGAAGCTTTAGCTGTTGGTATGTTATGTATTATTCTGTTTATAATGTTTTTCTTTTCTGTGGTGTTGCTTCTGCCACCTACTGGACACACTGACATTACTGCACACTTACTGTACAGTCTGAAATCTATAAATAAGACGCCATATTGATCACGAGGCAGTGAGTAATAGACTTACAGGCTTACAATGCCACATACTGTAGAATGGGTCTAGAATAGATGACGTCATTTTCAAAACTCACAAGGTCTTGACTCGTGTAAGTTTCCATGTCAAGATTGCATCAGCTGAACAGTTGTCATGTTGTTAATTAACAGTATAATCCATTGAACAGCCTGTAATTCTGTCCTTCACTGACTCGCTTTCATTCCTATCAGATATTAAACATGGTGTTTGGTTATATAATTGCGGTAATGAGGTAAACGGGTTTTGTTTCTTCAGGACTCAGCTGCTGAACGGCTCCATCCACGCTTATGAACTTATCTGCTCTTTCCTCTCAAATTGTTTATCATCTCATCATCTGCATAGTTTTTCATCATTTTCATCAGCTGCATGAGTAATTTTTACTACTTCTTTTTTTTTTTACTACTAATTTTTAGCCGTTCTTCTGAATTATGAAATTGCATTTACAGTTTTTTCAACTGCTTCCACACAGAATCTTTACTTGTCACACAGTTTCTGAAAGCTGACACTCAAACAGCAGAAGCACACACCAAATCTACAAAACCATACACTAATTCTGTCTTTGACTCAGTTTTCAATTTCATAAAACACTTTTTGCAAAACACAACACACAATTCTCTATGTAACACACAAACATCTAACAGGAATTAATATTATGGCAAAGCTGTTTGCAAATGTTTGCTTTTGAGATGTGTTTGTGATATTTTGAATGCAGTGCTTCATTTTGCAAGAGATGAGAGGCTTTTAGCATTTTGTGTGCAATTCTTGGATTTGTGTGTGAAGTTATGAAAAAAAGAGGCAAAGTTTTGAAAATGTGTGTAAGCTGTTGAAACAAACTGTAAACTGAATTTCTAAAGAGGCCAGGGGCATTTTAGTTTATCTGCACTAACGATCAATGAATCTCTGAACAATTTAATTGTGTCTTTGAACATGGAATAATTTGATCCATTAAGAATGAAATGTGATTTTGTGATTTATTTTTCAGTGTTAGTGTTGATTGTAAAATGTAGGCTTCATTTAATTAGGGGAGTTAAAAAGCAGAGTGGTTACTTGAATTTGGAGTTGAGCTGAAATCTAACTTCAATCATATATGGTGCAGTCACCTTTGACCTCATGACCTGTATGTGTGTGTGTGTGTGTGTGTGTGTGTGTGTGTGTGTGTGTGTGTGTGTGTGTGTGTGCAGTGGTGTAATGTAACAAAGTAATAATACTTCATTACAGATTAGACTCCTAAAAACACCTTTGCTCATGCAAACAAGTGCATGCACAACCGCGGATGATTTATTTTCCACTCAATTCGAGTCTGGGGTGTGCGATACAGCACCGTCTGCGATAATATGGTAAGTGTTGATGTGCGATCTGACATTATCAAGATTTTGAACGAATCGGTTGAATAAATGATTCAGTGATTCACTCATTAACACAGTGAAATGCTTTGTTTCTGAATGAATCAGTCGTTTGAATTAATCGACTGAATCTCAATGACTCACTCATTAACAGTCACTTGCTGCCACCTACTGGCGGTTTTAATTTCACATTTCGACTATTTTGTTCATGTTTTAAATAATTTCAAATATCAGTATTCAAAGTTTTATGTTAAAAAACAAAACATTAGGCCAATTTTGCATCTGTAACTGCAGGTTAAATGTATCCATGTCCGCTCTGAGATACATAAACTGTGTAAATACATCTAAATGCTATTTCAGATGCAGATTCCAGAAATGATTTCTTATGTTGCAATGAAAGACACTAAGTACCGGGTGAAGTGCTTCTTATTCTTACACAAAAATACAAAATGGAAGAAAGAGTTAAAACTGAACACAATCTTGCTACTCAAGCTGTGTATGAACATTTTT